TCATACAAAGGGATTCACGCTAAACAATCATACAAAGGAATTCACGCACAAGTATCACACATCGTAACATGCAAGCGGACTTACAATTGCGTTTTCATTTAGAATAAAATCAAGTTTACAAATGACTTCTGCAGTCAACTTGACCTCATTACATAAGCATAACTGAACACCAGACTGCTCTAATATATATTATTCATTTATGGAGTAAAAATTTTTTGACTTTGAAATGACTCTTTGCGATCATTTTGACCCCACATGTTGCTACTCGTTGTTAACCTAAAATTTCCTCCTCTGTTGATTTCCGGTAGAAAAAGTAGGCCATTCCTAAAAAGAATGCAAAAGTTGACTTTCAAATGAATTGAGAAAGGACATTCTTGACAAAGACAAGGTAACCATCGGATATTTCCCTCTGAACCTTACAACTTTTGTTTAAAATGTTTTCTTCGAAACGGTTTTCTAAAAAGATATTTTAATGGGTATTTTAAATTGGGACACCCTGTATATATTATATATATATATATATATATGGTGGTTGATCTATTGTATATATTTATATGCAACTTTCAAGCCTTATAATTCGAAAAATTCTTAATGCAAAAATACTTTTTTTATAGTTTTGAGAGGCTCTCGAGGTAAGCTACAAAAATATGCAATAAAAAGTAAGAGTCTCCATTTAAAAAATTGACCTGCATGTGACTTTCAAAAAACTATCAAAGGTCAAACCAATGATACCATGCATCCTTCGAAATGAAACAACTTTTGTATGAAACATTGATTTGTAAAATGCTTTGTTTCTGAGATATACATTTGTCACATTTTAACTCACTCACCCAGTATATACAGGGTGCTCCATTTTAAAATCTCCACTAGATTATCTATTTAGGAAAGCATTTAAGAAAGAAATGTGCTGAACAAAAGTTGTATTGTTTCAGGGGGACGTAAGATGGTTGGAACGACTTCACCTTAGATTGTTGTTTGAAAGTCACGTGGAAGTTACCTTCAAGCTCTTAAATTGGAATTCCCTATTTTTCATTCCTTTTTTTTGCAGCTTATCCCGTAAGTTTTCCAAAACTCTAAAACTAATTTTTTTTGTTAAGTATTTTTTGAGTTATATGATTTGAAAGTTATTGTACCGCCTGCATTAGCATTACTCAAGGTATACCACGTGGAAGTTGATTCTGGCCAGTTAATCCATGCTAAAAATAAGGATTTTCATTAAAAAAATTGATTTGATTATAGCAATTATGGCTTAAGATACAATGAACCTGCGGAGAAAATTGTTTAGCTTATTATTAATAAATAATGTGTCGATATGCGTTTGATGTTGAAATGTCCTTGAAATTTGACCCCAAGATCAAGGACATCATTGAGTGCTCTTGAACTAGTCAGAACGCTTGAAAAATTAGAATTAAACTTATCTTTTTAATTGCTTTTTTATTTTCACTTGATTTTTATTCTACTGCATTTTCTGAAAACTTTGCCGTTTTAGAATCTGTTTCATCGTGTAATAGGAAAAAAATGCCCATTTTCTCGACAAACGAAACTGTCGACATTTTTTTCATTTTAGGTAAATGTCGTGCGCAATTACAGAAGAGCGGCAGCATTTCATTGAAGACGATTTCCTTTACAACATGCGAATCATACTGTGATTCGTAAAATTGAAATGAGAAATCGGAAAGGAAATCTTCATCGACAACGAGAAAGATACAATGACAATGATTGCGCGATAAATGTTCGCTTCCTTACAGTTTTAGTGATAGCACAGCTCCACAAAAGAAATTCACAAAATTACCCCTGGGATCTGATTATATCTATCATATGTTTTTGGGATCGCTGAATCCAAATTCGGGGTCCATTTAACCCCATCTCGTCAGGATTTTTCATAACCTTAAAAAAAAAGTCCCGTAATCCCAATAAATACTCTATCCATTGATCACTTAATCCCAATAACTCCAGAACCCCTTAACATCTTGATCCCTTCATCCCTTAATTCCTTAAACCCATAACCCCTTAACCCCATACACTCAAAATGCTATAACCCGAAAACCCCAGAACCCAGTAAGAAAGAGATTTATGCGCGTTAAAGCTCTGAAACATAGTATGTTCGATCCGTATATGCTTCTTAAGCCTTAAACCTACATTTTTCAATAATTTATGCGCGTTAAAGCTCTGAAACATAGTATGTTCGATCCGTATATGCTTCTTAAGCCTTAAACCTACATTTTTCAATAATTATTGAAAATAATTATTGATTATTTTTAAAATATTTGCTTTTTTATTTTCACTTGATTTTTATTCTACTGCATTTTCGGAAAACTTTGCCGTTTTAGAATCTGTTTCATCGTGTAATAGGAAAAAAATGCCCGTTTTCTCGACGAACTTTAAACGAACTTATAATTATTTTCATTAAATGGACCCCGAATTTGGATTCAGCGACCTCAAAAACATATGATAGACATAGTCAGATCCCAGGGGTAATTTTGTACATTTTTTTTTGTGGAGCTATGTAGTCCATTTAAACCCATGTATTTTTGCGTGAAATTCAGCAAACACCGGGAATCCCAAAATCGACTATTGGCAAATATTTGAAAGCCACTAAGTATCATCCTTATCCTTATCACATAATTTTAAATCAAGTCTTTACTGAGCACAATCAAAGCGAACGGCTATTATTTTGTCAGTGGGCATTACAGCAACTCCAAAATGATGGAGATTTTTTTAAATACGTTTTGTTCAGTAATGAGGCCATTTTCAACAATTATGGTGTGACCGAATGGGACATTAAATATGCATAATTGTCACTACTGGGTTCCAATTAATCCTCGTTCGATGCAACAGACTAACCAGTACCGTTGGAGCCTCAATGTCTGGTGCGGTATTGTTAATGACTGTTTAACTGTTCTCTATTTCTTTGACAACATGATTAATGATAAGAATTACTTATAGTTCCTAAGGGATATTTTTCCGATTCTGCTCGAAAATGTTGACTTGTATATAAGGAGAAGAATGTGATTCCAACATGATGGAGCAGGTCGTTACTATGCCAATATCGTAAAAGATTTCCTTAACCAGAATTTTCCTAATAAATGGATTGGCAGAGGGAGTCCAGTAAGTTGAGCAGCAAGATCATTAGATCTAACTTCATCCAATTTTTATTTGTGGGGCTATCCGAAAGATGCAGTTTGTCATGAAAGACCAACGATAAAGGAAAATATGATGGAAAGGATCCGAACGGCGTGCAATAATATTCCACGCAACATTCTCTTATTTACTTTTACGAATTTTGAAAGATGGATCCAATATTATTTACAAGTCAATGATGCTACCCTCGAACATCTTATAAATTAATCAATTAATAGCGTATAAAATAAAAATAGCCATTTTTAGGATTACATAATTTTGCTTAGCTGGCTGGATCACCTCTCAATCTTGTTTAGCTGGCTGAATCACTTCTCGATCTTGCTTTGGGACATCTTACGATCATCCATGTGATACATCTTGGGTAACGCTAATGCAGGCGATATTATAAATTTAAAATCTTATAACTCAAAAGTACTTAATAAAAAAATATTTATTTATAGTGTTCTGGCAAGCTCTCGAGATAAGCTACAAGAATATTTAATGAAAAAGTAGGGAATTTTATTTAAAAAATTGAAGATAACTTTCACGTGACTTTCAAACAACAATCCAAGATCAAATCGCCCCCTCCATCTTATATCCTCCGTGATACAATATTACTTTTGTCGAGTACATTTCTTTCTTAAATGCTTTCCTAAAAAGATAATCTAGTGGAAACTTTAAAATGTAGCATTCTGTATATACAGGATGGGGAAAATGGTCCATACCCCTGAATAACTCGAAAAATATAAGTTTTATAGAAAAATGTTTCAGACAAAAGTTGTAGTGTATAAAGTGTAGTGTATAAAAAGACTCATTTAGTGATATTATTAGTTTGATCTTGGGTGACGTCGCCAAAGTCAGAATAAGGTCTTGCCTTAAACAACACTGAATTTTTTAAATAGAATCTCCTACTTTTTATTACATATTCTTATAGCTTACCTCGAGAGCTTTTCAAAAGACTACAATAAAGTATTTTTGCATTAAGTATTTTTCGAGTTACGAAGCTTGAATGTTGCAGTATCACAGGCATAAACACTATCCAAGACACATAGGAGAAAGGATTTTGAGTTAGAAAATACTACTTATTGATGAGTTGTGGGATATCTACCTTGGGCAGAAGTGGAAAAGTTTCATACGTTCGTAACTTCTTTTCGGTGGTGTGGCAAACCCCAGAATATTTATGCCAAGAGAAACCTTTCTCCAATTGCCGTTCAGAACCGGCGTTTAAACTGTAGGTTCTGTATAATCTGCGTGCGCACCACATGCGTACGTGTGTGAGAAAGGTAGGCCCAGGCCTCTACAAAGGGGCTGTAGCGCTAATGGAAGAAAAAGTTAAAATGGACACTTTATATATTNCCCGCGGCCGCCGTTCCGTTATTGCCGCTTCATACGACACCTCGCTTTCGCGAGGGCTCTCGAGCTATGACTCATGCTGCTCGTATATATAATAGTAAGAGAGATCCACGTTTGGGAAAGTCGGAATAAAAATCGCTCCTCAATGGTATGCGATATAATTGCTCGTTTTGATATACATATATAATACTTTATATATATACATATATATATATATATATATATATATATATAAAGTAAAAATATTTATTCTAATTATGCAACTCTTTAGAAAGAAATACCATAAAATTACGTACAGGTATATCCAAAACATATTTTTTATTAAATTATCTTGTTATGTTGTTGATAGATTTAAGTCTAGCTACAACAAATTATTTATTATTAAAAATTTCTAAAGTTGGGCACCGATTCGTCATTTGTCATTAGCTTAGAAAAATTAACAAATCATTATTTTATCCACTTTATCATTTACTTCTCTCCCTTTTCCTATTCTTACATCAAAGACATAATAGTTGTCGAATTTACAGGTAAGTCGAGAGACCAAAACTGGCGGAGTTCCTGGCGGAGTTTCCACGGCTCTGGCGATGGGAGTACCGAACGTTCCGATAATCGTATGGCGCTGTGTCGAGGAAGTGGAAAGAAGAGGCCTCGATATCATTGGTGAGTATCGAGTAGACCGAAATCAGGAGAATTTTGCAATAAGAACCGTACATTATTATTCTATGTAATAGGTTTGTACAGACTCTGCGGTTCGGCTACTAAGAAGAGGATACTTAGGGAAGCTTTCGAAAGGAACGCGCGCTCGGTGAATCTATCACCCGATAATGTGCCAGATATCAATGTTATTACTGGTAATATGCCATAAAGTATGCAGATCTTGTCCTTTGTCGATTCTAAGTAACTAAGTATTCTGTTCTAGGCGTGCTTAAAGATTATCTACGAGAACTTCCAGAACCTCTCTTCACGAAGTGCCTCTACCAAATGATGGTCGATGCACTGGCCGTCTGTTTGCCGGACGACCCACAGGGCAATGCTAAGCTCATGTTCAGTATACTAGATTGCCTGCCTAAAGTTAATAGGGTGCGTATCTTCAGAAATTAATTTCAAATGCATCAGTTGTGACATAAAGGAAGAATAAGATAAAATATTTTTCTTCGTAATCATCAGTATGTTTCTCTGAGATTCTAATTATACAAGTTCTTATGGATTGTTAACAGTGCACGTTGATTTATTTGTTGGATCACCTGGCGATGGTAGTGTCGCAATGCAATAAGATGTCACCAGCAAGTCTCGCCGTTTGTTTCGGTCCGGTGTTGATGTTACATTCAGAAGAAACCGGACCGTCGCTAGATTTTCAACAACCGATTGCTGTGCTAAAATATTTACTGGAGATATGGCCAGTAAAGTCAGGTAATGTAATTGTTCTTAATATACACCTTTCTTTTTTCTAAAATCAATGAAATTATTTAATAATAGTAATTAAATCTCACTAACTAGCTCGAACTTTTCTGTCATTACTAAAAAGTTGACTATTAGAGGTAAAATGCATTTGCTGTGAGATACAACATTATTAGTTAAAATTAATAGCACGTATAGCTAAGGGTTAGTTACTTGCCTCCCTCCCCCTCCCCCCTTTCTCTCTATGCAGAGTGCAGCAAAAGTATGGAAATATTGAAATATTTTGAGAACAGCGCACTTAGCAAAAAAATGGTTGAGATAAATGTTTGAGGATTTTGAGAGTGAAACTTAATGGCAACATTGACTTTGACCTTGAGGCCGAGTTTGAAGGTTATTTGAAGGTGAATTTGTTTTTCTTAAATAGAGCTCCCTAGATTTTATTGCATATTATTATAGCCTTTCTTGAGTCCTTTCCAAAACACTATAACAAAATATTATTACTAAAAAATAGTGAGAGTCACTACATAAAACTATAACAAAATATTACATTAAGTACGTTTCCAGTTATAAGGCTTGAAAGTTGCAATACCGCCGGCATTAGCACGACCCAAAGTAGATATGAGGATTCCAGGGTTCGTCACTCCCATAGTATTTTCTGACTCCTAACCTTCTCTGCTATGTATGTGTGTGTCAGCAGAGATGAGGACCTCACGGAGCCGACAAACCGTGGAATCCTTATATCTACCTTGGATAATGCTAATATCGGCGGTATTGCAAATTTCAAGCCTTATAACTCTCGAAAAGTACTTAATGCAAAAATACTTTATTATAGTGTTTTGGAAAAATCTCAAGAAAGGCTATAACAATACGCAATAAAATCTAAGGAGTCCCATTAAAAAAAACAAATTGACCTTCAAATGACCTTCAAATTCGACCTTAAGGTCAAAGTCGAGATCACCATTAAATTCCGCCCTTAAAATTCTAAAACTTTTGTATCACACATTTTTTTGCTGATGTGCGCCATCCTCGAAATATTTCAGGATTTCTATACTTTTGCCTCACTCTCACTCATACAGGGTGGACTATTTTAATCCATCCAGTCGAATATATTGAAAACCAAATCTGGGAGAAAAAAATTTTCCAAACAAAAGTTGTTTGGTTTCAAGGGGACCATAATTCGGTACCATTGGTTTGATCTTGAAGAATTACTTGAAAGTCATATGAAGGTCACCTCAATTTTTTTAGATGGCATCCTCTATTTTTTATTACACATTCTTGTAGCTGACCTCGAGAGCTTTCCAAAACACTATAATGAAATGTTTCTTCATTTAGTACNACTTTTCGAGTTATAAAGCTCCAAAGTTGCAATTTGAAAAAATTCAAAATATCTCGTAAAGTATTCACTTTTCGTCTTATCTTACACGATTCAACTAGTCAAGGCAAGCATTGGACATGATGCAACCGGTCAAGGCAAGATCTGGACATGATCCAACCGGTCAAGGCAAGATCTGGACATTATCTAACCGGTCAAGGCAAGATTTTTATCAAAGGAATTGTTCAAAATTATCTCCATTGGCTTGAATACATAATTCCAACCTATTTTCGAAGTGCCTGACCGTTTTGAGTAAGACAGCTCGCGGTATATTTGCGCAAGCTACTCTTATTCTCTCTATCATATCTTCTCTAGTTGTAGGCGCATGCTCATAAACCACATTTTTAATATACCCCCATAAATAAAAATTAGGTGAAGTCAGATCAGGTGATCGTGGAGGCCATGCGATGGCCTCTCGTCGCCCAATCCATCTGCCATTGTATTCTCGATCTAGATAAGCTCTCACTAGTGCCACATAATGAGGTGGCGTCCCGTCCATTTGTATCCACATTCTCTGACGTGTATGAAAATCAACATCTTCAAGCAATTGTGGTAAATGATCCCTGAGAAGTTTCAAAAAATTTACACTATTAACATTTCCTTCAAAAAAATAAGGACCAATCAAGAAACCATTTATAATACCACACCAAACATTCACACTCCAGCGATGTTGATTATCTTCTTGTCTATGCCAATGTGGGTTAACATTTGACCAATAATGGCAATTACGTCTATTCAATTTACCATTATTTTTGAACGTCGATTCATCAGAGAACATAACATAATAGAAGAAATTCAGATCAGCTCGGATCATTTGTTGTGCCCATTGACAAAATTGTACACGCAACGGCATATCTGCTTGAGTAAGAGCTTGTGTTAACGTGATATGGTAAGGACGGTATTTTATTTTCTTCAAAATTCTTAAGATCGTTGTTCTCGGAATACCAATTTCTGTAGCCATAATACGACTACTTGTATGAGGATTAAGATGAATAAATGCCAAGATAACGTGCACACGCACATCATCTTCATCATACTCATGATGTGCTCTTTGACGTTCTAAACGGCCTTGGCGAGCTCTTAGTTCGAGGTCCCGGATTGTAGTATGATTCGGATGTTGTTCTCTTTCGCGGTAACGATTCCGGTAAACTCGCGAAGCTTCATGATAATTTAATTCACATTCTCCGAGAACAAGGAGAATATCAACAATCTTTGAGGAACGATAATCAGCCATGGGTGTTGTTGGCAGACGTAAGCCTCTGATTGTGAGTAATAAAGTTTGATACTCCGATTAACAGTGGAAGAGATTTCCGTAATCAATTGATACTTAAATATCCAATTGTATCTACAAACTATTAATTCCTATTAATTCCTATTGCAACTTTGGAGCTTTATAACTCAGAAAGTACTCAATGAAGAAACATTTCATTATAATGTTTTCGAAAGCTCTCGAGGTCAGCTATAAGAATATGTAATAAAAAATAGAGGATGCTATTAAAAGAAATTGAGGTGACCTTCATGTGACTTTCAAATAATTCTTCAAGGTCAAACCAATGGTACCGTCTTATGGTTCCCTCGAAACCAAACAACTTTTGTCAGAAAAATTTTTCTCTCCCGGGCTTGGTTTTCGAAATATTCGACTGGATGGATTAAAATGGTCCACCCTGTATATAAACACATATGCAAAAGTTGTTTTCTTATGTAAAATAAGATTCCCTAATAAAAAATATAGGTTTTCATTTACAAAAACAAAGCTGACCTTGAAATGACCTTGAAAATATCCACCACTTAAAAAACTAATAACGGAATTTTGATTGCCCTTCAAAATCAGGGAACAAGTGTTTCAACTTTTTTTGAATTTGTTATTTTTGGGATAATTTGTTGTCAATTTAAATGGTACACTTTATATACAAGGTGGGCCAAAATTTGGACACAGTCCAATATTTCTTAACCAATGTAATTTAAGTAAAATATTTTAAATAAAAGTTACAAAAATCTATTTACTGATTTTTTTCAGTTTGATCTTGGCTCGAGGCGTCAAAGTCAAATAAAAATCAACTTCATTTTTGTTTAATAGAATCATATAGTTTCCTTAATACAAATCGATTCCTCTTTCATTCTGCATATAAAAGTATTAAGATAAGATCATCGAAAAGTGAATATTTTTTTAGATATTTTACATTTTATTCTGTTATTTTTCAGAACAAGATATGAAATATCTCATAAAATATTCAATTTCAATAACATAACCTGAACACTTTTGTATAGAGAGATGAAATCGATTGCTGCAAGCAACACAGAAAAATAACATAGAATAATAATTAACACAGAAAAACCTTTAAAAAAAATC